GGGGGGGGGGGCTTATTTTGAAAATCCAGGCTCTTTACAGGTTTCCTGATAACATATTGTTACTATGGGGGGGGCTTATTTTGAAAATCCAGACTCTTGTTACGATGGGGGGGGGCTCCTGTGCCTCACGTTGAACTCTTGACGTTGCATCACTGGTCATGTGATTTAACCTCTCCTCTGGGTGTGTATGTCGTTGCTATGGTTACTCACTGACTTGATTGCATGCATCTGTTATCTGTGGCTCACCCCTCAAACTAATGCTTCTATAAATAACTCAAAGTCCTGTCTGTGAAATAAAACCACCGTGAGAACTCCAAGAGCTCAGAACGTACAGATATAGTTTTTCTTAAGAGTTAAGTAATGTGACCGTGAGAGCGAGTTAGAAAAATTTGACTCTTGTTCTCCTCTCTGACCTTTTTTTATTCCAAATAAACATTACAGCCAATGGAGAGGTGAAAACGGAAAACCTTTTTCAAAAAAATGTTACAGCCAAAAGTATCATAGTGTCTGCGAAGCAAACAAACTCTAATTTATTTTGATCAAAAAATCATCAACCTCAGTTTGCAGCTTTGAGAGCAGTTACTTTGAACACACCAAAAGTAGGTGGTGCGTGCACCAGTAGGCAGCACCCATAGTAAGCCAGAGCAATAATTAATATGAGTGTGATGCATTGCAGGGGCTCACCTAGAGGGTGCCACCTAGTGGTGCACAAGGTGCACATAATAATAAGTAGCACGCAATACTTAAGTGTAAGGAAATATAATACATATGAATGGAATAAAAAATAATACATGCATTATAAAAACCAGAATAATATGTACAGTGTGAGAATGTGTAGTGAATGGATTGCACATGAATCATTGTATTGCACAGACAGAATGAATATTGCAGTTAACTTCATTTATTCAGTCACATCTGAGGCTGTTTATTCAGACTTCAGGCAGTTTTGGTTTCACTCTCTCCTCTTGCCCGACATTTTCTTTCATCCAGCACGAGCGCAATAAGCTTTTATGAGACTGTGAACTATGTATTTTCCCAGCATCCTCTGCTCTCCTCAACGCTTTTCCTTTCCCGTTTCCTCCAGGACGCCATCCGGATGATGATCACACAGGCCAACAACCACCTGGAGGAGCTGCAGAGGTCTCTGGCGTTGGCCAGAAGTTAGCGACCCTGAGCCGCTACGAGTCCTTGCTGTGGACTTTACTGAAGAGACTCTGTGATGGAGTAACCATGGAAACAGGGAGCCCCTCCTCCACACCGTAGACCCATCTTTAACTGCTTCTCAATGTCGGATGAATGGACGTTATGGACCTGAATGCATCAACCTGTTTCCATCATGAACGGTGAGCCACCTGGGAGCCACACTCTTCTTCAGGCCGTACATTATATTATATCTGTTATGTAATAAACAAGGAAGCTGCAGGAGGATTAAGAACAATCTTCTTCTTTTTAATACAAAATAGGTTTTTCTGGCTTCATCATACAGAGTGCATCGAGGTCATATAAAAACAGTCACTACAGCAAATGTACAGCAGACAGTAATACTGCAACTCAACTGTGAGCGTTCTTCATGCAACAGGTTCGGACTAAGTTCAGCGTCAGGATTGTGCTTTACAGGTAAACATGATCGGCAGGGCAGAGGGCATTCTGGGAGAAAAGACTTTAGGTAGTAACAGGATGAGAAGTCAGCTTGTTAAGATCTGCAGGCAGGTTTCAATGTTTCATAATGTTAGTGTCACAAGTGTTGTGATTGTAAACACTTTGTTCCCGCTCACTCTTACTAAGACACTAGAGTTAAAATATCTTTCTACTGTCTATGACACAGTTGAAGTGTTGAATGGCGACAGTGTGGGTGGCAGCAGGAGGATTGATAAGACTTTTTAAAAATTGTATTTACTATATGTGACAGCAACTTTTCAGCTTGAATTTAAAGTAGTGCACAGGTTTATAATGTTGAGCGTGGAGTTCACTGTGACACCTGAGTAATAATAAACTTTTACACTTAAGTTAGAATCAAAGTCGTCCCTTCTTTTAGTCTAAATACAGATTTCTAAATTAATGTATATATATTTTCTTTATAACTAAAACTAAGAGGTACAAGCCTGTTTAATATATTTAATACTTGAGTTTAAATAATGGAAACCAATTGTGTATTTAAATTAAAATGTCGATAAACCAATTAAGTTTAAAAATGCAAAATACATTGATTAATCATTTTACTATGAAAAATGTATCTCTGTATTTGAACTAAAACTGAAATGCCTCATTCAGATGTATAGTTATTGCTTATCGGTTTATGATTTAATCATTTCTTTAGGAATTGTTTTTAACACGGTAAAAGTCTGTAATTCTTCCATCGTCACACTCCAGCCTCCGCACAGATCACCACGCAGCAGAATCAGGGATCAATGCAGTTAAAACAAACCTTCACTCTAGTTCTATGTACAGTGTCACTTCAACTACATTCTCATAAATAAACAGCGGGTCGTTCTTTTAAATTCACAAGACTGATTCCAGTAAATAGACACCAACAAAAAGCTTATTACACTGTGATTCCCTCCATGCAGGCGGCTGTCACTGTAATCTAATGATACCAGTGTAACACACCAATTACGTCTCATGATAACGTGGTGTCACATGACTCAGTTTTAGTGTGTGGTCGGCCAAATGTGTGAATATGTTTGTGTGTTGATGGTGTTCATTGTGTATCTATTCTATAAATGGCACATTAGTTCAACGTTTGACAACTAGCTTTACATTTACTGGTTTATTTACAACACAGTGCACAAGAGCTGCCCCTGTTTCGATAGTAGTGTTCATACACACCTCAGCATACCAGGCCGCTGCTACCATGACAACCAACAGCTGTGGTTCATGTAAAAATGGGTTGACTGGATTCCAGGAGGACGTGATTTACAGCTGTGAACGTGAACTCAATCTGTCAGTGCTGGATGTGAAGACTCGTCTCAGTTCTGCAAGAAGAAAACATGACAGTTCAGTTTTGTGTCATAAATCTCTGCTGCTGCGAGAGGCTAAGATCCAACCCAACCACATGTGGCTTCTGGTCAGTGTCACAGTGACAGGGGAGCTCAGCGTCAGCACCCGTCGCGCTTGTCAGTCCTCAGCATGCGCAGCTCGTCCTCCAGGTAAGAGATCCTCTCCACCAGAGTGGCTCTGTCGGCCTCGGCCCTCTGAGTGGCCTGCCAGCGAGCCTCCTGCACCTTCCTCTCGTACCAGCGCTCCATCTGCGTCGACACCGCCTCGAAGAAGTACTGCGTCACCTCCAGGGCGTGCATGTTTTCCCTCTCCTGGGCAAAAGAGGGCTCGCTGGGCTGCTCCCCGAAGACCTCCAGGACCTTGGTCCCCGTGGCCCCGCTGGAATTAGTCCTTCCCTGGGATTGCTTTTTACGCAGCTTCCCTCTGTCTCGGCCTCGCTCCCTATCTCTGAGCGCACCGTCAGTCCTGCAGCGGCGTTCTGTGGCGGGGGACAGACTGCTCGCTCTGTGGACTCTGCCCCCAGTCGCACCGTACTCCACTACATCCACGTTCAGCAGGTCCGTGTTCTTCCTCTGGGTGTCAGTGCAGATCACTGAGCGCTCCTTTGGCCGGACCACCTGCACAGATGGCAGCAGCTTCTTGGCTGCAGTAGGAGAGCTGACTTCAGTCTTACGTGCCTTATCATCTGTTAATGTTCAGAAGACATTCAGTGAGCACGTTACACAGACATCAGTTGTTAGCTTATCAGTAGCATGCAGCTCGTCTGAGTTATGAACAACTCATGATGAGTTGCGTCTGGCAGCAACGTTATTCCTTTCACAGGAAAGGAAAAGTGCACTTTCAGTGAAAAGTCTCTTTTGGCAACAGAGCGGAGTTCATTTTGAGTCATGACAGAATAAGATGATGGGAACCGTTAAACTGAGTTACAGTCTAAACAAGAAATTGATTCCAAATTTTAAAAAAAGGTTTCTTTTTACTTGACTTATCAGTGAAATGCTAATAATCACTGTCGGATGGATCCATGGGTGATCCTTGTTTCTTAAGTATAACAGCAATTGTAATGTAATAATAATGTAATAAAGGTATGGAATGAATGAATGCAGATAAATCCCTGCTCTATATTTATTTATTCATTTACTTATATAAACTTGTAGCATTGATTTCCAGGCTGTAATTTATAGTTAACAATTGACAAATCAATGATATTTATTTTACCTGGAGAGCTCTCCACATGAACCACAAAGTAGTGGTTGGCTGATCCACCCTCTGCCACACTGGGATCCCTGCGGTCAGAGTCCAGGAGCGTGGGACTGCTGTGCACCTCTGGACAATGGGAGCCACCTTGATCTCCAGCGGGCAGCTCAGTGAGCTCAGCTCCCTCTGCTTCGTCCAGGCCCTCGGTCATGGAGGAGGAGCGCCGCAACTTGGTCCTGCTGGGGTCTCCTGTGAAGAGAACCTCCATGTTCTGCAGTTTTGACAGACACCAGCTCTTCAACTCATTGATCAGAGACGCCTGCTTAAAAGACACATGCAGCCAAACAGAGGAGATGATGTTACATGCATCAAATCTGAAGCTGAACAAATGGAAAGTAAGCTGCATGAAGAGCTCATTGTCTTGGTTTAACATTTCCTGTTTTAGTCTCCAGCAGCAGGCAGATGTTTACATTCAAAATGCTCTGATTAAACCCCCCACACCTTCCCTGACCAGCACAGTTAGAGACGTGGTGAACATGGCTGAAAAGGAAGGTCAATATGAGATTCATCAGAAGTCTGGCTTTAACTCCAGCCATGACAAATGTACACTGTGATACTGTGTCAAATGTGTTCTGCTGCCCTCTAGGTGCCAAACAAATACAATCAATGAATTAATGATTTTTTATGCACTGATGAATTGTTAATATAAGTTCTGACCTAACTAAAAGGAATAACATTTTTGTCCTGCTGACTCTGTTTTCAGTCACAATGGAAGAAACATGGAAGAAACTGATCAGAGATCTGTTTCTTCCATTGTTGATTAAGGAGGATGTCCAGTCCCAAAGAAGTTTGTAATATTAGTTTTATAGGGTGATCTTAATGTTGCTTTGCCAGTAAACCAGGACAGTGAGCAAATGCAGCCATGAATAATGTAATTAATTATAGACAAAGCAAAACTGTGAGAAACGTTTCTAGTGAACATCTAAATGCATCATTCACTTTAAATCTCAATAAATTCCATCAATAGCTTTTATTTGCTTTCTTGACTAGCCAGGTGTAATCAATTTGGCACACCAATTTTCATAGAAACTGATATTTCAGTAACATTTTCTATATGTCATGCTCAAGTTTCATAGCACTCTGTAGCTGCCAGGCCAAAAACAGTTGAGGCAGATGCTGCCCACTGGTTCTAAAGGATTCTTCCTGTTAAAGGGAAGGTTTCTCGCCATAGTCCCCACAGTGTTTGCTTGTGAGAATGTCTCTAATGATTTGGTGCTATACAAATTAAATTGAATTGAATTATTGGTGGTATACAAAGTCACTGATCAACATCATCATCGATATGTGGCTGATTTGATCAGCAGACGAGGGTAATGCTTCGGTGAACGTTACCTGTCTCTTCTCTGCCTCCAGTCGCTCCTGCAGGGCCCGCTGCTCCATCCTCTGCAGACACTCGCTCCTCTCTGCCGACACTCTCTCCACTGTCATCTTATCAAGAGCACAGATCTGATGATGACAAAACACTTATTAGGAAGGAAACGAGGAAAAGATACACAGATACAAGCTGTCTTACACTTTCTATAGAAAGTGTGTTAACAAACACATTGTATATAGTAGTATTTATATATATTTTATATATGGTCACTTCAGAAAGAGTTTTCCACACTTAACTGTACGACTACCACCATGAGCAAGTTTTAACAGGGAGCACTGAATCTGATTTCGGGGCTGCTCCTCTGTGTATGACAGAGTCCGTCCAGCATACAGTGTTTTATCAGTCAGGCTCAGTGTAAACATCGTTTGTTTTGTCCCTCGATCTAACATTTGTTGAAATTCCCATGTTCCTCTTTTGTGTTTACCAGCATACCATCTTCTGTTGGTCTGATCTCACTGATAACACATTCTTGCCTATTTTCACTGATGGGTTTTCTCAAGCAGCAGTGATGCTCAGAGTACATGCATGAACGACTGCCTGCAATCTAACAGAGGCTTTTATTTAAAGCATTGTACAGTATGTTATGGGAGAATGTGTTATGTATTATGAATAGAGAGTCTTCAGGGGAAATGTGGTCGTAGAGGGGCTCGGCTTGATATAACCTCTCTCCCCCTCTGCTCCACCTCCCTGCTATCTCTCTCTCTTCTCCCCCCTCTTTTAAACCCATCTCTCCTCTCTTCCCCATTTTTCCATGCTCACTCCAACCGGTTGAGGCAGATGGCCACCCACATTGAGTTCTGCTACAGGTTTCTTCCAGTTAATGAGGATGTTTTTTCGCCAAAGTGCTGCTCATGTTGGGACCTGTTGGGCTTCTCTAAACTTTTTTAAGGTCTTGACCTTCTAAGTAAAGTGCCTTGATATAATGTTTATTATAATTTGGTGCTTTACAAATAAAACTGAATTGAACTTCATCTAATAGTAAAGTATAAGAGAGTTACCTACTGTACGTTAGATGTGCAAAATAAGATTAGAGTGACTCCAGATATTTGATTTGTAATTTGTGCAGTAGTAGTGAACACTGACAACCTACATGTCATAGTGATAAAAATGAAATGAATTTGAGTCTGTGTAAATCTTATTGTATTGTTTTATAAATCCACACAAGTGTTGTGTAGCCTGGTTGTTCCATGACTGTTGGAGGAAGAATGACTGAATCTGGAAATTGTCTCAGGCGCTGTGAGATCAAAGTTTGATTTATTAGCTCAGGAAGGTTCACATGAGAATCTTCATAGTTAAAAAGATTAATTTCCTTTGTAAAACGAAGACAAAGGAGGTGAGAACCTTGCTGATGGACGGATTGCTTAGAATACAGAGTCAAATTGTATTGTATATTGGAGTTCTCATCCATATTAATGCAGATATCAGTCATTTCTTATTAAAAAGTTCCTAAAATGTTTTTACTCATGCTCCAACTATGCAGTAGAGCAGAAGAACCCACTCAATATAAACAGCACTGTGAGAGGACCCTTTTGACTTCCTCTCATTGTCACAATATTCTGTGTGGTGATGAAAAATCAAAGGGAGTGAGTTTAAACAGTCATTTGCCAGAGAAAGGGTTCGTGTAGTGACAAGTCTGTTTCATGTGAAAATATAAAAATGAGGATGAAGAGTTCAAAATGAAGAATGTGAAGAAATTATGTATTTTTAAGAAATATAAACTCGAGAGGGAGCTTCAGACTAAATATCTACTGTACTCTGTAGAGCGGCTGAAATGATCTGCTGTGTGTTAGCATGTGTGCTACCTGGTGCTTGTTCTTGCGGTCCAGCTGGCCCATCTTGCTGTTCATCAGGTCTTGGACTGTGTTGATCTCAGTCTTCATCTCCTCTTTAGTGGCCTCCAGCTGGTTCTCCAGTTTAGTGATGAGAGGTTCACAGCGGCAGCCGTTCAGAGGAGCCTGCAACACAGTCAGCAGTCAAATGAGGTGTGTTCATATTTGCCGTTGGGCAGCACTGAGGGAGGTTCAGGCAGAAAAAGGACAAAGCTAAAAACTGCAAGTTTGGAATAATGCATTATAAAGCTTAGACTGCAAATCATTAGGGTGATGGGACAATACTGCATATACTGTAGAGGTAACTGCCTTTCAGCACCAATGCATATAATATTATCACTGAATGACTTGTCCCTTAATGTCCTAATGTAAATTGACTTGACATTTCTATAGGTTTCCTTATCTTTAAACTGTTTCTCAGATTTTTCAGATAATGCACTGTAACACAATATAGTGATATATAAAATAAATAGTGTTGTAGCAGATCTGATAAAACCCACTACTATAGGAGGAATTGGAAACTGTGATTTATGTCTGGAGGGAATGTGCACTGTTAATAAATCAGACACACATTGAGGAGTATTTTAATGTGTGAGAGGGAGGCAGAGTCAGTTCAGAGCATGAATTAATATTTTTCACACAATTACTGTAAACGTTTCTCATGGAAACTTTCTGCTTGCATTTGTATTTTTCCCAGACTATATTATAATAATAATAATAATTATAATAATAATCATCATTATATTGAAGCCTATCTTATATAACACTGTGTGCAATGTTTTCTTTATGAGAATTTCCTCATGGCATGGTGTTACATCATTACTGACACATTGCCTTTGGAGGCCTGCTATTGGCTGACACAGTTATACTCAAACCAATCCAAGGCTTATTAAGCAACACATCAATCACAATGCACTCTTGCCTTTTGGTAACTGGTACAAGGTTTAGTATTTGATATTCCTATTAATCTCTGTAGTGCTGCTCTTCAGTTATGGATGATATTCATCTATATATAAGGACAGGGCATTAAGAATGAATTTACAGAACACTACAGAGGAACTACATGAAAACTAATCTTTCTTCTTACTCAACTGGGGAGGATTTGTGCTCATTCAGTACCTGCATGATCTTGCCATCCTTGCCGCGGTACAGCGTGTAAAGCTGATAGGCTTTGAAGTTGTGTGGTGGGATGGCTGCATGAGGAGAGACTCCTCGCAGTTTACCCTTCCTCCTATGAATGGCTTCACTGGGTCTGGTCTCTCTGCGGCGAAGTGGTTCAGACAGAAACGGCTGCAACAGCAAAAGCAGTTCAGAATAATAGTCTGTCCAACTCTTACATCAGAAAATAATGTTTATTAGGAGAAGCATGAGCAGGAGACTCGTCCACCTCTTCTGAGCAGCAACGTCTCAAAACTTAAAGAAAGGGATCTACCTTTTCCTTCTGCTTCCTGTTCTTGCCCCTCCTGGTGTTAGTTTCAGTCACTTCAGTGTGTTTGCAGGCAGCTCGGTCACTGCTCTGGGTGTCATCTGCAGCTGAAGCACTGTCCTGCAGGGAATAAGGAGGAAAATCATTCAGAGCAGTGAGTCAATAAGCTGGTTCTGCTCAAAAATAGATTGGACTGTGGTTGAGACAACTCAAACATCCAATTAGTTTCCTCGTCTTTAGAACATCTTTCTTCAGTATTGCTTGACTCTCTCTGCTCTACTCTTCTCACTGCTGCTTCCCACCGACTCATTAAATTTTTTTTACATAGTTTTTCTTACTTTCCTGTTTAAATTCAATAGCTTTGACTCAATAGTCCAGTTTTTTACCTTACAGGGCAGCATCTCATCCCTGGGCACCGACTGAGCTCTGCCCTCTGCCTTCAGCTTGTCTCTCCTCTTCCTCACACTCCTGCCACGCACAAAGCTCTGCACCTGAACACACCCAGAGGAGATCATTCATGATTAGTAAGTACAATAAGACAGTTACACAATTCATTTCTAAATACACAAAATACACACATAAGAAAGGCTTAACGTTGATGGTTTCACAATAAAGTGGCTGGATTTTTTAGAAAGGAAATTACTTGTTGAAACAGATTTCTCTCTGGATTTGTTGTCCCTTTGATGTTAAAGCTGCTGTGTATTTTCCACAGCAGACATGTTGGATTGTCATTAGCAGGGAACAGATGAATTTGATAACGTCAAGCAACTGTACTTCTGTGGTACTGCTATTGTGCACCCTGACTCACTGAAACACACCGGACTGAACCCTTGAGGACTGGTACAGTGACTAATGGTTGATCAATAAGAAAGTTAGGACAAAAAATGATAGAAGAATAATACAATGATAATTAAAATGATGTGTTGATCTCAATCAAATGTAATGCTGAAATATGCTGGATAAACCCAGTGTACACAACCTGAAATACACCAGGTCCAGGTAGCACAGTGTTATTTTAATATGTCGATAAATGACTTCAAATCAGCAAATTCCCTGCATAGGTTTTTTCGTCTACATTCTCAATGCCAATTTCTAAACAGATATTGTGTTTGAACATCTTTTAAACATACATTTATTCAGATTTCTAGTCGTTATTCACATATATTTGTGGTTGTAACTCTAATCAAAGCAGTGTTAAACTTTCTCTAATGTGATGAGTCCAGGAGATTGAGGTGATCAAAACTCTTAAAGGTAGGGTTGGTCATTTGTTCCTGAAACACTCTCGATTTTATTTGTTGAAATCCTCTTTATGTTCTTATAGCCATCAATAAATACACTTATCTGGGGGGGAAAAAACAAAAAAGCCAGTGTCTGTGGCCCTCGCAGTACTAAAATAAACCAATCATTTTATTCAGATCGAATGAAATGATTGGCTGGGGTACCTGTCTGTCACTAACCAACCTGCCTGCCTGCGCGCACCCTGCCCGTGCTCTCACTGCGCATGACCAGAGTCTTCAGCCGGGGAGGCATATATCGCTGAAGCAGAGATGATAGCCAGAAGTTAGCGAGTGAGTCAGGGTAAAATCTGCTTCTAGCACTTATCATTTAGTGCACACTGATGTGTTTTGGGGGCGTAGCTTTGATGAGAGGGCTGATGGGAGGGGATGGGCTGTATCGGTTGCATTAAGGTGTAGCCTGCTCTTGCAAGCATTTCCAGGATTACCAACCCTAGCATTAACACATGTTTAAACAGCCGCATATTCATAACAAATGCAGAATCAGTTGTACTGGTCAGACTGGAAGTTACTGGTTTCACCTGTGGAGCTCTGGTCAGGAGAAGAGCCACTTCTGGGTTGTTATGCTCTCTGGCCTTATCCAAAGCTGTTTCACCAGCCTGTGGAAACACACAAATACAAAGACAATTGAGACAAAACCCAACTTAAAGGAATGACCCTGGATTCTAAAACAGCCTCATATTGGAGATAGTGCCTTATTACTATTGCCAGGGTATATATAATAGCATGTCTTCCATGCTTACCTGTTGTCTCAGCGTATTCAGTGGACATTTGTTTCGATTGCACTATATTTGATTTTAAATTATCAGTACAATAGTATAAATTTGCTACAGCAAAGCATTAAGACTTTAGTGCAATATTTTAACATGCCCAATGTTTCCACTCCATTTTATGTGCAAATGGAAAATCTGCATGAAAGCATGTGGTTGGAAACCCACCTGAAGTAAAATCTCTAAAAAGCAATTATCAGACATTCATGGTCTTCCTTTCCTCATAACGTGGAATGAATGTGATCATGAATTCCCCTAATTCCAATACAGCTTCAAACAGCTGACAGGAAGCTGAGACAGTCAGCTGCTCTAAGAATAACAACTGAGATCTGCTAACTTGAAGATGAAGAAAATGAGCGCTCACTTTATTATTGAAAATTAATGATGCAGAAAGAGACTGCGGGCACTTACATTGTTGCAGATGCGGCTGTCTCCCCCCGCCTCTAGCAGCAAACGTACAGTTTTCTTATGATTCAGAGCAGCTGCAACATGTAGTGGAGTGTCCCCAGCCTGCACAAACACACAAACACACAAAACAGATCTTTTATCTACTGAGAACTCCAAAAACATCTGTTGTTTGTATAAACACTTTATTCTTACATTTCAACCTGAGGCTTTCGTGCAGAGTAACACAGATTTTTTTTAGTGTGTCATGTTTGCGAGTGAAATTCTGCTCAGAAGATTTCATCAGTTTTATCCCTTAGTTCATAAAAACAGCACCAGTTACATTTACAAACCATCTATGATGACATATGTTAACATTGGTTACGGTAAGTTTTCAGAATGTAGCTGTGATAAGTGTCCAGTTGGTAACTCACCAGGTTCTTCTCTGAAACAGAGCAAAATGCCCCCAGTAGGATGCGGATCATTGACATGTGGTTGTAGCGGGCTGCCACATGCAGACATGAATCCCCCAACTAGAAAAAAAAATATTTAGCAAATTTTCAGAGATTTTGTTTAAAATTGAAGCATTTGCTTAAATTTAAAGACGTACTGCAGTCAAATGTGAAACTATGCAGGAAATTCTATCATTTTTATAAGCTGGATTCTGTACATTTTAAAAAGGCAATGGAAATTAATGAACTCCTTAATGTGAGAAGTGGGGGAACAACCAGGGCTATTGCTAGAGCTGGTCATTATGAATGTCCTTAATGAAAACCTGCTCCAGAGGCTCAGGACGTCAGACTGAGCCATCTGTCCATCACTACCCATCGAGTTTGCTGAAGCCAGTCAGGTGAAGAGCAAAAACGTCTTTTCTAATCAAGAAAAGCCTTTAATGTGTCCTAGCCTGTATCTCTTGTGATCAAGGTGATAACAGTGAAGAGCAACACTCATGAAAATGATGAAGTGATGTTTAAATGTGGGAGGAAGAGGAGGAACAACATACGTGGTTCTTGCTGTCTGGCCTGGAGCCTCCCAGGAGCAGAACCTTGGAGCTCTGAGCGTGACCATTCTGACATGCGAGGTGGAGAGCTGTGTTCCCTGCCTGAGAGAGGAGGAGAGAGGAGGAGAGACCTCATTCAGGTTAGCTGTGCATTAAAGACTGAGCAAGACACAGAGATACATAAACACATTTAATCCTGAAAAAATAGACTGTGAATAAAGATGAAAGTTTTTATCTCTAACAGTCAGGGCCATTTGCAGTGTAACAAACAACTAGACTAAAATCCTGATAAGTGAAGTATAGTCATTGATTACAGTTTATATACAATAATTTTACTGGTTATAATGTAAATCAGTGTTAATAAAACTTTCTCCAAACAAGATAGTAATATTTTTGACATTACAATAGTCACAGAATTTGCACGGGTTGAAAGTTGCAGAAAAGGCTCAGAACTGAACCTTGAGTTAGGATTTTGTGGAGGAACAACCAAGAATGAACTATTTCTACAATTCACATGGTTTAGCTTTTACTCTCTTGTATAAGAAACACTGAGTGAGACCTGAATATTCGAACAGAGCTTCTAGCAAACATATTCCCCAGTAGAATCACCTTGTTTTTTGCATGAACGTTGGCTCCAGCTTTCACTAGCAGTTTGACGGACTGGCTGAAACCGTGCCAGGAGACTTCATGGAGCGCAGTGTTTCCATCCTGAGAGGACAGAAAACAAAAAGCCACATTTACAACATCTAAACTGATAATACGAGCAATTCTGTTGATTCTATTCCTTCAAAAACTTTAAAGCTAGTGTCAATCAACACTACACTTCTGTGGTTGAGCTCGTTTTAAAGGACACATCATGTGATCTTCGATTAAAGATGAAATAATTTCAAAATAAATGATGCTGAACTGCCTGTTATGTCTTAAGGTGGTGAGGAGGATATCTTTCAGAATGTTAATTAGTATTAGTACAAATAATGATCTAAATAGTATTGTAAATATGAAAAAGTCAAGTGACAAACTTGACCAATTCATCTGTTGGCTGTTTTGAGAGCAAAGGGAGGAACTTCCCACAATTGTATAGTGTTCCTAATAAAGTGAGTGTACTGCTGACTGAAAGTTTTTTTTTTTTAATACAGTATTTGTTATAAAAGAATAACTAATCTGTCCTCTCACTGTGACTCTTAATACTCTACATTTCATAGGCAGGAAGAAGGTGAAGCAGATGACAGACGCACTGATTTCTCTATTATCATCAAATGGCTCATAATGACTTTGTTCTTCTGAGCGACTGTGACAGAGGCAACATTAACTTCTATGTGTGTGTGTTTGTTTCTGTCCTTTCAGCTGCACCTTGTCCTGTCTGTCCAGTGCACACCCTTCCTGGATGAGAGCGCTGATGACGTCACTGTTTCCCACCACGGCAGCCCGATGTAACGCCGTCTGCTCCCCCTGCCAGCAGAGAAACATGCAACACTGACTAACACATGACAACATGACAACATGGCAACAGAACAAGAAAACGATCCACAGAAAGAGCAATTCCACCATGTAGAAATCTTGGAGCACCAATGTGATATTTTTAGTATAATGTTATTTTACAAGTGCTCTTGCAGGATACAAACATTCATAAATCTTTTTCAAAACTTTATTACTTACAAAAATAATGAATTTTAATGTGAAAAAGATGCATTATAGTGTGAAATGCAATTTCCAAGAAATAGTTTGGTTATTGGGGATTTTGGTTTTATTTCTACTTCCTAGTAGAACAAACACATTGGTGGATGTTCAGCTGAATGAATGCGTTTTAATGGGACCAATACTGCTCAAAAGAAATACACCCTTCAACTTTTACACAGAGGAACAACTGGAACCCATGCCCTAATGTGCTGCTTCTCAAATGGCACACTACTGTGACAGGGGGGTCTGTGAAAAGTAATAACAATTCAGCACATTTGTGGCAAATGGATAAATTGTCTCCATACAATTTAGCTTTTTGCAGAATGCTCAGGGGACCAAGGGGCGGCTGCTCAAACTGCTTCTAACATTTTGAAAATCTCTCATTTTACAGTTAAAACTGATTTACTCTGTAGCATCACTGTGGGAACTTTAGGATCACAGAACCTTTCACGATTAGCTAGAAATCTGGCAGTAAGAAATATCAAGTCCTCAGTGCTACAGAAGGTGGGGTTTCCCATAAGTGAGCAAAGAAGTGACTTCATCCAAGTAACTGGACTAAATTAAGCTAATATTACTGTTAATTTTATATTCAAAACAATACAAAATGCCCCAAAACAAACTATCCCTTTACATGCTGAATGTTTTGTAAGTGTGTCCCAAACCTCTGCAAAGTTATTATTACTTTTGCAATAACAATGTTAAGAAGATCCCAATATAACAGTTATACAAACCACAGCAGATAATGTCAAACAGCTGTATTTGCAGTCTATTTGCTGGAGTCCACTGTGGTCCATATAACCATGTGAAAACAGTGAGTGTACAGTCCCAGGAAAAAAGGTTCAGTTCAAAATTATACCCAGTCATAAATGGAATTCCTGCAGACAGAGCAGATTAGTGGTGAATGAGACTTAGCCAGTCAGGTTTGAGAGTGCTAGAAGCAATAAGCAACAATTTCCATGAGAGAAAGAGGGGAAACGGGAGGAAGAGGAGGAGGAGGGGAAGATCATTCCGGGCCAGATAAGAAGTGAGCCGAGTGCAGCAGCAGCAGCAGCAGCAGCAGCAGCAGCAGCAGAGGCATTAGATGAGCGGCATTTGTTCAGGGGAAGGAAGGACGGGGGGGACAGATTTCCACTGGCTCAGTAGGAGCTGTTTTGTCTAACCTCCTTCACTCTCCCTGATCCTCCAGGCTCTTTCCCAGCCCTCCTTCTCTGTCTTCTCCCCTCCTGCTCCTCCTCCTCCTCCTGCCTCAGTGTGCACTTCCTGCTCCCTCCAGTCCTGGAGGATGTATCGCAGCCTGTGGAGCTCACTGACCACAGAGAGGGAATTTGGCAGCGCGATAGATCTGGATTGTCTCTATCTGTGGGGAAGGGGGACTTGCATCCTGAGGGCAATCCCACAAGCGGGAAGTCCAAAGAGTCCCACTCAAGGCCACTAGAGGTCATTAGACTACAGTTGTGATAAAATAATAAAAGTCTAAAATTAAAAAATTATTCCAACATTAACAGCGCGAAAAGCAAAAAAGAGAAGTGGCTGTAGATATCCTCTAATCAGGACTGCAGTGGGAGGTGGAGGTGGATGAAAAGCGGGGTGATGGTCGACGCAGCAATCAGACAGATGATTCTACTCACGTCGTCTTGGATGTCCAGGTCGCATCCAGCTTTGAGCAGGATACGCACAACCTCGATGTGGCCTTTATAGGCAGCCAAGTGCAGCGGGCCTCTGCCATACTGTGAACACAAAACATCAACAACTCAAGCCGCTGAAAAAAAAACACCACAGTGCACCCAACATACGCAGAAGCAGACTAAGTCAGGGAACCCACCGCTGCTTCCCACACACCAAGTCAGATACTGCTGCAAAGTAACTGTGGTCATAGCTGATGGTACGACTGAAGACTGAGTACAATACATCTCAGTAATGAGTCAACTGAAAGCAAACAAATCCTTAATCCGTGGTTTAAGAGAATAGTGCACAATCTGCACAGCTGTTCATGTTAGCTGGGTGGAGGATAAACTCTGCATCCTGCCAATATAAGGATCTGTGGATAAAAGCAAAAAGGTCTCTTTACGTAGGGGAGGTTAAAAAGGTGTTCACCCAAGCATGTTTTACTTTTCACTGGCAGATTTATTTAGTTTTATTCAACCATGTCTAAGATTTCTGCTTTAACCCAATGGTAACGGAATTTATTTGGTATTTTTTACAAAACTCGTCAAAGACATTGGAATGTTCAGAGGCGTATGTTGCTGTTAAATGTATGAATCTAATTTTTCAATCTTTTCTTATAGATAGAGCTGGATCAGTGATTAGTTATGCTGCTACAAGCCTAGACTGTCGGGGGACCACTATCATTCAGTGATAATACATTGTCATTGCTGCTCCCTTCATCTCTTAAAGACACTTGTCTTTTCTCGTGAATGTTGTAAATATTGTTATTATGTTGATGTGTTACATGTGAAATCTATAAGAGGGATCTGTCACATGCAGCTGTCTCTGAGGTTTCTACATTTGTTTCCTTGTTAAAAAGATTTTTCAAACCCTTTGTTGATAATATCTGTAAACAACTTTCAATATTATCTGACATTTTTTGTCAACATGAATAAATGATAATACAAAAAAGAAAAGAATCTGCAATTTATTCAATAATGAAAATTTTTGTTAGCTGCAGTCATAATCCATCCCACACAAAATGTTCTCCCTTAAGCGCTGGATAAGCCAATAGGAGGCCTCCAAAGGTCGTGTGCCATGCATTTCATCAATCATCACAGATCCATGCAAACCACGATTAATTTGTTTGAATGACAACACGTGCTTTCTTATTTATGGTTGCTTTCTTTGAGCAGTTTTAGCAGCCTAACCCTGCAAACGTCAGAAAAGAATGAATACAAAACAATTATCAACAGGAAAAAATCATTAGAGTTAAATATATTATACAATGGATTGTATTGGTGTCTTAACACCTAGGCTTAGCAATTTACTGCTGGAGCACTTGCCTGGGTAAATAAAACCAAAACTAGAACATCCCTCAGTGAGTTCATACCTCCACAACAGACCCTTTATATTTAATCAAGCTGCACCAAATTGAACACAGTCATAGAAATCAGTTTCCTAAATGTGCCTGATTTTTTCATCAAGATCCATGAATTATTCTCTAGGTAAACAGCCCTATTTTCACAATGCTAAAGAAAGTGAAACAGAATCTGAACCAGACCAAAATGTAATGGGTGCTTTCCACTAAATTCAGTGGAAATCTGTTCAGTTGTTATTGTGTAATTTTACTTCCATTATAAAAACAATGTGCAAGCCAACCAACAAACAATACCTAATACTCTTATTTTTGTTTTAGTTGACACTATAATGGACCATAAAGAGAACTGAGATACAAGAATGCTTTGTGTTTTTTGTGGAGGCTGAGCTGACATGAGAGACATTAGCAGCAGGAAATGTCTTTCCAGCTCTAAACACATCCTGAAATTCCAAACATTATATCCAAAATAATGAGCGCTGCTTAACTGCATGGAGACGAATGACAGAGCAGGAAGTCAGTTTGTAGATAAACATTCAAACTTCAAACACAACATCCACACAATGTCATTTAATCTGGACTTATCCTGAGTAAATACAGTTTAATTACGGATCAAGTGTGTTTCCCACACAACAGCACAAACCACATCACACCCCTGGTATTATCTCTGCCTTTGGAGGTGTGCACTTTATTTGGGAGTGGCTCAGCTCGGCTCTGTATTCATGTGGTCCCCCGGATCGAGTTACGCTGGGCCTGACTTGGAGGGGAGCCACCAAGGGAGCTCAGGTAAACACAGCAAGCCTCAAGCTATCAGGGCGACTCTGTCTCCAGACTGACTGAAGGTCTGTTTGTGAGTCTGTGGGCTGGATTGTCAGGGGCAGGTTCACATTTTCAACATAGGTTCAAACATAGTTTGACAGAGTCTCTCTCTCTCTGCAGAAGTGGGATAATAGATTACTGTGACAATACAACAGGTTTATGTTGAAGTCACTGTTTACCCTTTTAATTCAGTCAAATTCATCAAAAAACGAACTCAAACACTGAAAGTTAAGTGACTTTAACCGACTTTGGTGGTGCCTGTAAAAGAACTTCACGAAGAGAGGCTGATGTTTCTCATAGTTTACTTCTATCCCACTGATTCACATTCTGTCTTTTCATGAAAGAAAAAAGGAATTTCCATCTTTTGTATAGAAGAATAAAACAGAGTTTCACGTTCATGCAGCTGTAACTGTCACCTTATCTTGAATATACAGACAGTGATCGGGCCTGTTATTTGAGGAACCCCGCATCCAACAAAAACAATAGTTTATTTTCAAACTATAAAACGTCACAACACAACTCTTTTTAAGCCTATAGAGGTATTTTCACCAACTATGTCTTCGTAGATAGTGTCTCTTCTTCCCTCTGTGTTGGTGTGTATATATAGCTTGTGTTTAACATCTCTCTTATTCTCTTGACAGTCATTTGTCAGGATGCTTTGTAAACTGTGTACATGTAAGTCAAGGTCCACTATCTACCTCTTTTGTGGACTGGACTATTTATCTGCTCAAAGGTGGAATTTGAGTTGAGGGTGGGTCACACTATTAAGAATTCAACTATACAACTTGTAAAATAAATGCAGTTAAAAAATAATTGTTTAAATACTCTCCTGAATTGTTTACAGTCTGTGTTACGTTTGTTGTCACTAGTTTTAAATGAAAGCCTCAATGAGCAGTTTAAACAGATGTCTTCTGAACTCTCCAAATTTTAAACCCAGCGTTGATCAGGCAAAAACATCATCTCCTATCTTTTTTTCCTTTCATTATAAAGCTCATCTGACGCCTTAACGCCTAATCCTTCTTGCCTCCCTTTCTTCATCTGATTTATGATTTTCTATCTCAGTCCCATTCATCATATTACCCATCAAAAAAAAATCCCTGCATTCCTTTTCCTGAGCAGAGGAATGTTTCGTACGAACTCTACCCCCTTTATCCTAGATTAAGCTTCTAAAATGGCGCCTTGCCAAAACACCCAAATGCAGCTGGTTGCAACACAATCGTACAAGCGAGCAGCAGCACATGTAATTTTGTTATAGCTGTTGCAGTTTGATGCCATGTGTTTGTGTTCCCATGGAAAACTGGTTTTGCAGTGCGAGAACAGAAAACACAAAGCACATGATGCACAACAACAAATCCAGTGTGAAGCGCTAACACATGAAAAGAACTCAGAGCTCTTTTATGCCAGGCATCTGACACAGAGCCTATATTTTAAAAAGTTATTGATTCTACATGTGTGTCAGAAACATCAAAACTAAACAAGACAAAACTTGAACTCACTTTTGTTTCCAGGAAACATGCAGCAAGAACACACCTGTCATTGCCGTTTCTAAGGAAACAAATTTATGATGGCCAACCAGAGAAAAAATGCCAGCGTCTCATTGTACTGTAAGATCATACTGCAGTAACGATATACGTTACGTGGAGATGTACAAGCTTGATCCTGAGTCTCCTCACTGAGGATACTGTTTTCTCTCATGCAGATACAGGCTGTTCACATCAATTCATCTTCTGTTAAATGAAACTGCCTCACATGTAGCTGCGAAAAACAATGTGATGTTACAGCCCTGAAAATTTAAAACATCTAGAGGGCGATGCAGTGGTGCTGTATTATTGTTCCAGACAGGTCCCCCCACCCCCCACATGGCTAAAGTACCATCACACATACTATACTGTATATTAAAGCCTGAATTGATTTTTTTGGGGGGAGGGGGGGCGATGAAACTGACGTTAGTAGGGAATAAGACATTTCTGATATTGATATATCAGCCAATACAAGTTGTCGTACAAACCCTTATGACATATTTAGGTCCGTCTGGCAGACTGACACACATTCACAGACGTGCACATATGCTCACACACAAATCAACTGAATGCCTAATTCTCACTCTACTCCAACTCCCATGTAACCTGACGCACCAGATGGTTAATACACAGAACCTGTTAAGAAGAGGGCAGGTGCTTTCAAAATAAAACGTGGCAGGTGATGGATTGAACCATCTGTCTCTCACTGTCTCAGTTGCTGAAGCCAGTCAGGTGAGAAGTGAAAGCACCTTTTCTATTGAGAAAAGCCGTCAGTGTCGTTCTTTGCTCTTCTTTCAATGAATTACTAAGTTCTGATATAACTGATGCTACAGCAGCATCTACGCTAACCTATTTGTCTGATTATAAAGTACTGTAATACAAGTGTTGTTGCCTGTTTGCCTGGGACACGTGAACACACACAAAACACCAGATGTGCATATAGACAGCTTGACAGGCGTGCTAAGATTAGCTCATGGGGATGGGGAAAGGGTCGGAGACAGACAAAAGCTTCCCTCCCCACATACAACCACCTGTTATCACATCACTCAAGTTACATAATTGATGAACCCCATAAGATGTAATTAAAAAACTCTGGAAACAGCTAGTGACTGGAGCTTGGAGAAATTATAGTTTGAATGATTAAATATCAAATCAAAGAGTAAGATAATGAATCTGAGCAGCTAATCAATGATGACTTTTAGTAGTAGGGCAAAATTAGTAATTCTCTGCTGCCGAGACCATCTTGATTTGGTTTGATATCCAGCACTGATTGACTACCCATGCAAGAGGTTGCAAGCCTGTTCTCACTGTGCATCATCTAACATCCAGGCCATTATTCTACATGCAGATGAACCACACAGGCACTAAGCGACACAGGCGAGGGTTACATCACATCTTTGTAAAACGACCTCGGAACTTTGCTATGTTTAGGATACATTAGATCTGGGATGAAAGAATAAAGTAAGGCCTCAGGCGACACTGTGTGTGTGTTTGTGTGTGTGTGTGTGTGTTCCATCTGATGTTGTTAAACATACAAGTCACTGCCTACTCGTCAGCATGGAGAATAGATGCTGAGTCAACTAATCAGATTGAACTAAATTTGTTTACTTCACTCTCAGCGGATTTAGCCGGTTAAACTCTTTATAATACGACACACAGGGACAATGGAAATGATCAGTGCAAGGATATCAAAATAAAGTTTTCTTCCAATTTCTGATATGCAGGTGAGTGTGAGAGTTTAAAAAAAAAATGTTTTTAATGGGATTGGACCTTTTCTAATATTTTCTGGTGTTTCAGTGTCAAAATGTCTAGACTGAAATCTGTGAACTGATTAAGACTTATAAATGTGGTTGAAGGCTATAGAAAAGCTTAGAAATACAAACTGAGTCAAATGTTAATATCTCTTTCTTGTAAGCAACTGAAAAAAGTGTTTTAACCTAAAGGTAAATAATTAGGTATCAAATTGGCACTTATATCACATTATATAGAACAATACAGTCCAGTGGGCCAGTTTTGTAAGTCATGCAGAACAGATGTTCATAGAAGGAAGGCAACTGATTCCTCTGCAAGATCTGCTCTGCTTTCACACAGACAAAAGGCAGGAGATCCAACTTTTACAGCAACCTCGGTCCAGTCATTTTACCTGCACCAGACAGCTTCACCAAACCAAAAAACACTAAGAAATTGTTCTTGTATTATCCAGACATAAACCAAAGTGTGGCGGAAGTTAGACCTGACTGCAGCACAGCACATTGACTCACCTTGGTGACAGCTACTTTTGCACCCTTGTTGATAAGCTGGACCACATTGTCGGCCTGTCCCTTGTGTGAAGCTATGAGGAGGCGCTCGGAGAGTGCGAGGACCTCAGCCGCATCCTGCTGGCTCATGAAGCAGGGCGAGTGATGCTACTGTCTCCAGATGCTGAGGAAGGCAGCTTTGGCAGTGCTCTCTGATGCCCTCTAACTCATGGTGAGCTCCGTGGCAGACAGAGGTGTCAAACAGGAGCTGGACAGGCTGCCAGTGTGTCTGATTCTTCTTTTGCTAAAAACCCCACAAAGCGCCAGGATTCCTCCCCTTCATCCTCTTAGCTGCAGGGAAGAGAACAGGAAACACATGAATGGAGTGAAAACAAGTCAGCATGTGCTCCGCTCATAGTAAGCTGGCAAACAGGAAAACAAGGGAATGGGTAGAGCGGACCTACATCACTACTGTCCAGCCCTTGTGTGATCATGTGAGCTGGACTGAAATAATCTGCAATGAGAGCCACAAAGACAGGTCAAATCTGGTCACTGCTGTACGGCAAAGCAAGCTCTTCACTCACAGTGAGAATGAAAAAAAAAACAAGCAAAAACATGGTTCTAATCGCTGCAAACATCACACACACACTCCTGTGGTTTGATGAGTTCCTCTGACACACTTCTGTGGTTTTGGTCTAACCACAGGAAAGAGAGAGATAAAAAGTTTTTAAAAAAGCTGCCGCACCTCAAGAGACTCATCTTATTTCTCATCATCATTAAAATTGACGTTTGACAGACACTGAGCTGTCATGCAGTGTCTCCGTCTCTACAAGCTCAGCGGAAGGCATTGTCGCCTAATAAGGCATTTAATGAATCTCTAAAATAGATTCTGTTTGTTACCTTTTCTGCAACCTTCAGAAAATTGCCTAGGCTGTGAAAATGGATGTCACTGGGAAAATATATGAACTTCTCTTCTCTTAGTAAAATTATTGATTGAGTTATGAAGTTTTACAAGAAATAATTTAAGTTTCCTACTTTTGGGTATTGATTCAATAAGTTATGATCACAAATGTGTTGTTCCTCGGATTTAACTACACACAATGTTTAAATTTTAAAAGAGCAGCAAGATGAACACAACATATCTGTCTTCATTAGTAGTTGTGATAAGCCTTAGTTGTCTGACCCAGTTACAACAGCAAGACCAGCGAACAAGTCTATCTACTGTAGGTGAGGATACTCAGGCCTTAAAATGCTGTATCATTGGCCAAACCTGTTGAAGTGCAGCTACTTTATGTGTGGTGAGTCGTACCAATTAGCAGGACTTTACTTGACTAACAAAGATCACCTTGCATTAAGATCATTGTATTAAATGTATTATCAAATGTATTATTAAATGTATTACATTTTTCCTCTGAGAACAGTTTCAGCTCATCCAAAATGGATACAGCTAGTAGAACCCATCTATGGCAGTGTTGCAGGTTTCCTGAGGTATTGTTACTTTACTGTATATGTATTTGGCCAATATGATGTTTAAAGTTGCAATATACTAAATTACGTATATATCAAATCACTAGAATCAGATCAAACTTAAAGACACAGCAGCAAAATGTTTATGTGTGAATACAGAATAATAAGTGATGGTTTACTTGTAATGGAGTATTTAAAATTGTTCCATCATGTACTGAACACCGTTTTATGTCACAGCAGGCATTTTGGCTGTTTATAGCTGCACTGCTACACAAAAACATTTGTGATGGAGTAGTTACAGCAATTACTGTCATGCAATTCAGAAAATTAATCACAAAATGTCAGGGTATCCGTAGATTCACTGCACGTTTTGCATCCTGAGATGCCTTCCCAGCAGTGGCTCTGCAGCCTTTCAGAAAACCTCTTTCCAAATCACACTGACATTGATAATAATATAAATTAGACAAGCCTAAAATATTAAGTTGCATTGCAAATACCACTTATCTAGAGAAGGGTGGTACATTTTTACAGAATAACACTAAAGCAGCATGGTGAAAAGGATTAGCACCTTGCAACAGATAATTTCCACAGGAACATGACAAGGTCATATACGCACAAACTGGTAACCTGAGATGAACGCAGGATGTGAGAGATGGTGAAAACAACTCAACACTGATTATACAGCTCTACGCTGCAGAGGAAGAGGCATGTCCCATCTGATCCCCTGAGTCTAATCTGTGATGACAGTCCCTCTAATGACTGTATTTTTTCATTACTGGAAACACAGCAGAGAATGAGACATGGTGCAGATGACAACAAGACCGATTCATAGCGCCGCAGGCATACATGGCTACATCCAGAGAGAGAACTGGATTATTTCCAAAACATTAACCTTTCATTTCAACTGAACTATGACACCTTGCTGTACAGTTTGACTGCCAAATCATTTTCAATTTTGGAATAGGACTTATAAAACCAATTACTCTAAATCTCTGGTAAAACAGGCACCTCTTTTTGTGCACAAGCCCAAAAATTATAAACCCAAAATGTAATGGGTACCTTCCTTAAACAATTTCAATATAGATAATATCTTGATCTCTTTTGAAAAGTCTCCAGGAGATTGCTTTCACAAAGGCACAGCTAGCCTGTAGAAGTGCCTGATGTGTTTGGAAATACAATGAACACATCCTGTTCCAAATGAGGTGAAGACAACACTAAAACCGACCAGTCTTCTATAATCTACATGCAGCTTCCTGCACATAATCTTCTGTAAGGGAGTGTGCACTGTGTCTGTAAATCAATGTGTACATACTTACACAAGCTGTGCATGCAATGGGTGCTGTGGTTGCAGTGGGCTCGGTGGACCAGTATACAGCAAACTCAGAGGAAGGTTGATGTTGAAGGAGGAAGCTGGTAAAGACAAAAGTCAAGATTTTTTGGTTAATTTCTGTACACCTGTGTTGTACATCACAAGTTTTGAGTTCCACTTGTTGCTACAGGTCTTCATGAATGCACTCATTATCTGATCACCATTGTATTTAGAAAGAAGGCGGAAAGGAAAGTTGTTATGGAATTTTCATTGACACTGTCCTCTCGGGCATAGTGCAATAGGCTGTTGTGTTTGGGAAGTACGAGAGCTTTGCTATGATATGAGACTGCGTAAGCAGGCAATGCTGTCTCCATAACTGGAAAATACATTTGATTGTTTAAGATCGAGCAGACCCATAGATTAAATGATCTGTTGCTGTTTAAAGTGTGACTGCAGGAAAGCAGACTTCAGAATATGAGAGAGCATCATGCACAGATGTGTGGATGAATTCCGATTTTCTCCTCGGCCGAGCTTCAATAAATATTTCAGCATAAGACATCAAAGGGCTCCTGAACGCTTTCTTCACTGATGAGTCGACCATTGATCAGCAGATTGTCCACAACAAAAGTGATAGGGTGCAGGGTTCACTGCGTATGAAAGTCATACAAAAAATACAAGGAGATCAAACATATTATCTAAAAAGAAACTAAAAGAGACTTAAAGAAAAACAGTTACAGCTCGTAAATGCAGGAAGGAGAGCTGGTGGGAAAAAAAATCTATTAGGTGACCACGACATAACAATGAGTGTGAAGAAGAAAAATAACTTGGGGCCATGAGATATGAATCTATTCTTTACTAATGAGACCAGTGGAACTGAACTGAAGAAGCCTCTTGGATGAGAGATGAAACGTTTCACTTAATCACATGATGTAGCTTCTATAATGAGCTTTAGTTTGACACACAGTGTCTGCACTGACTCTGAGGACACACTCTGGTGGAAACATTTGCAAATACTAGTCTAAAAAACATACCTATTTCCATGTGCCATGGTGCACAGAACCTGACTGCACAACAGAGTAGTGTCACTTTGGTGAGGGCTCTCTGAGACTTGCTCAGAGAGAGAGAAAGAGAGAGTGGAGGAATCTGGGCTGCCACAAGGTGAATCTGTAAACTATCTATTCTCCATTCCAAACAAATATTTAATTTCATAGGATAAACCTACTTAAAGAGAAGGATAAAAATATAACACTATGACCGGTTATCCCACACCTTACACATTCACTACATCAATATAAGCAAGTCCAACAAATATAGAAACATAGAGCGATGCAGACACTGTGAGCACATCACTCCTACGTGTCAGGTTGGTGTTCGGCTCCAGCAGTTGACAAATATTTATAATTCCCTATAAAGATTCTCATCAGAGAAGGTAAAAAAATTGTCGGTCTCTGTAGACCCTTATCCTCTTCAGAGACCCTCTAACAATCCACACTGAGCTCCAGGCATCCTCTAAGAACAGTGATGCCATGTTTCAAAGGAATTGATCGGTCAGTGGGCTGTGCTTTTATACTGCTTCATCTTTTATCTCCAACTTAACCTTTTCCAGAGCAGGTTAGCTGTTCAGCATAAGTAACCATGGTGATTTACCGCAATACAAAGTGAACAAGCTTCGTGGGACTGAAAACCCTGAAGTAAACCTGAAGTGACCCCAATAACTGCAAATCCTGCTTCGTAGTACAGGCCCCTGTTATGCAAAAGGAGAAAGGTAGGTTGTTTGTATTGTTCTCTGAATTGGTGGTATTGTTTGGACTCACTGAAGCAGGATGGTGGTGATAGAATACAAGGATGGATGGGCTCGTGAGGTGAAAATATTGTGGAGCATAAAGTGATTGAATCTGCCCTTAAAAGGTATCGTATAGAGTTTTCACGTCAATGCAAGTTTAAAAAATGTGTGTGTTTTAAGAAGTTGTACAGTATATCTAAAAAAAGAGAGTTAGGTTGCTGTCAAAAAGGCTGCTTGTGATTGAAAGTTTTAAACTCTCTTTGCTCTCTCCCAAATGTGCAGATTAAATGTCCCCTGACAATAAATGAAAAATTGTTCCTTGATTTCCTTGGTAATGCTGTAAAGTATATCATCTATTTTAAAAAAGGTCCAAAACAGTATTAACAGCACAATGAATGTTGTATTCATTCAGAAAGACATGCAGAAGTGACCAGAGGTTTGTGTCTGACTAATTTCATAGAAACGTTCCAAAATGTTTAAATCGGACCACACAAAGTGAGGAGTGGCAGATATGCATGAAAAAACTTTCTGCAAGAAGCGTTTGAATGGCTCCTTCCTGCCAGCAGAAAATGAACAAGATTAAGAAAAGGAGGGGGGGGGATTTCTCTACCCGGCTGCATTCCAGTTGATTCTAAAGAAGATCTTTTTCAGTGAGAGACCCACACACACAAAAGCAGGCCTCGCCGTCACAGTGAGGGTTCTCAAACGCCGCTAGGCAACAAGGCTTTTGTGCAAACTTTTAGGAACTCAGGACTTGGTTCAAAAACAAGAAATGCCAAGCCCTCGCTTTTCACATGGCTCAGGGAGGAGACCCGGGAGAATACTTATTAACCTGCTCGCTCCTGAAAACAACCTCCCTGCCACACTGCTTTGTAGCCGTGTTGGTTCCCACCTGGAACAAGTAGAGCTGGAAGGTATTCTGTCGTAAATGATTTACAATCAAATTTGCAGGGACCAAGAACAGAAATATATGGCAGCAATAGATTGGTTTGTATGTATATGTGTATGTTTTTGTTTCAGTACTGTATGAAGGGTTAGAGTCACAACTGTTTGGGAGAGAAGGGTTCTGTTAGAACTTTTTGATGTAGGTGTAATCAGGGTATTCAGATGAGTCTCATAAAATCAGTATCACAAATTCTGTCCCATAAATTAGTTATCACAAATTTTGGAATTTGAATTATTGAAATTAACTTCTTTTTTTATTAAATAGCATGAATAGCATTTAAATGTATTATAATTATAATAACAGCATGAACAACAATCAAGAGGGAGGGAGAGTTGGTTTAAGAGTAGGGCTGGGTGATAATATAAATAATTATCACAATGTAATTTTCATCTATAGCAATATAACAACAGCAAAAACTATTTCCCTTTGTTTTGCTCAAAAAAAATCTAAGCTCGCATGTAAATCGTAACAATAGTGACAATGGTTAACAGTCACAGATATTCTTGTCTCCATCCTCATGATGATTGAATTCCAAACCCTGTTTATGAGAAAGTGCGGCCAGCCAAGCTAAACTCCTAATATATTGTTTGGTTACACACCAAACAATAACCAAGATGTTAATGCAACAGTGGGAATCAAACTTTCTCTAAAATCTTTTGAACTCAACCTAACCACTGAACCACTCAGGTTTTCCACCCACACACAGGGAGCATCTGTAAGTTGAGGACAGAGGTCAGGAACACATCAGCCTGAACTTTATATGGCAGTGAATGGCAGCTTGACTGTGCTCTTCCTAACAATTAAGGCTTAGATGTCCACAGCTAGAATTGCTGAAGATAACTCACAAGCCTTTCAAAGCTGTAATCAGTGTCATGATAAGTGCTGAAGTATTGTGGCAATTTAAGTCAAAAATGACTGGTTTTACAGCTGTTTTAAAGAATACGTCATGTGACCTTGTGACCAGAGAATTGGTCATTCTACACCAGAAAAATGCAAAACTGTCCTCTGTCCCACCGTTTTCACTCCAGCCACAAACAGTGACAACAAAAGCCCTTTGAAATTACCTGATTTACTGTATTAATTAGAGGTCAAATGCGATATGGGGCCTCATTCACTTAACATCCTGCAGCTAGAGGTAAGTGGCCAAGTTAGGGGAAACTCCTGGAAGTAAGGGATGTGTCAGGTCTTACATTATGTCTCCTAAAATTGATGTGCTGACTGTTTTCAGCATTGATAACTTAGGATATCTCAGCAATCTGTTTGATTTATTCACTAAACTAAAAATGTTCTTCAAACTTTGCTCATTAAATGCAGCAAACATCAATCTGGGCTTTGTGGCAGACTGTGCCAGATTGAGGCCTATCCTCAATGATAGACACAAGAAAACACTTAAGGAGTCCTAAGGACTCTGGGACTGTGAAAAAAAGATTCTCTGGTGTGGTGAAATACAGACTGAACTGTTTGGCCTCAAGTCAGCAAATCAGGCACCACTCATCATCTGCCTAACGTCACGCAAACGATGTGGCATGGTGGTGGCAGCATCATGCAGTGGGCTTGTTTTTCAGGAGCAGGGACATGGAGATAAGGGAAGTTAAGGGAAAGCTGAACAGAACACAGACAGATATCATGAATGAAAAACTCGTCCAGAGAACTCAGGACCTCACACTGAACCAGAAGGCCAATTTCAAGAATGACAACAATCCTTAACACACAGACAAGACAATGCAGAATTCTGTGAATGTCCCTGAATGACCTAGCCAGAGCCCTGCATTGAATCCATTCACACACTTCTCAAGAGACCTGTAAATAACTGTCCACCAATTGTCACCATCCAACCTGATAAATGTGGAGAGGATCTGTGGAAAAAAATCCCCAAATCCCCAAATAAGTACTGAGTCAAATACTAGTTTTCCCTTTTTAATAAATGTGCAACATTTCTAAAACTCTGTTTTTGGTTGATTATTATGGGGTATTGGCTGGTTTACTATTTAACACTACAATAAACTCCTAGATTTTCCAAATTATAACAATTATCTGTTGACATAATGTAATAATTGGACTGATATAGTGACACAGCCTCTGGTTAGATGCAGTTTCAGAAGTGTACCACTTAAATCAAATTACCATGACAGCCCTGAATAGCACCTCTCAAAACAGTGTTTAGCAGATGAATAATGCTGAGTCAGCAGAACACACCGTGGTTTGAGTTTGGAAGATTACAACATTGTTAGCAAGGACAGACCCTGAAGTGCAATTGATATGTCAAGTATGCCAGGAATTTAACCGCTAGTGCCCATCTGTCAACATCAGCATCCCTGTCCAAAACTTCAATCAGGAAACACTTAATTTAAATGTTAGTGGGTGTGAGATTA